GCAAGACTGGTCCATATATACAATCAATGGTGCTGGTTTTACCTGCCATCGCCCATCGGAGTTGTTGATGATGCTGTTTTTATGCATGTCCACCTTTTTGCACTGCATGATGAGAGTAAGAGCATAAACCCTCTCCAGTAAAATGGAAGGGCGTGCCAAGTTTTCCATGATGGGAACCACTATTGCTTGTTGCATGGCAACATTATCCTGCCCCCAAAAGGTAATTAATATAAGCGATGGTTTACATTTATCGACACTACGAAGGAGAAATTGAGCTCAAAACACAGTGCATTAATTGAAAAGTTAAATTTTAAAAATTATAAAAACAGTCTACCACTGACGTACAGCTCGAAAATTCTAACTTATTCTTCCAATTAAACCTTTTATTTGGTGTGAAAAAGAAAATATAAACTTTCGCTCATTTTCTTGGGTCCAACAACATTCAAGTTTGTGTTCCCGCTTACCCGCTAACTTTAATTCTTTTTCCTTTTTATGCTTTTTTATTCCATTCGATGATTTCCAACTTGTTCATATCTTTTTTACCATTTCAACTTAGTAATACATCCAATTGTGGTGAATAGGTAAAACTGTAAAATACGTAGCCAGTTTTGGTCGACTGGACATCTACATTCCAATCTTGAGAAATATTAAGGACTCTCTGAGAGTTTTTTCTGTCACCTCATGTTTTCTACACAATATTTATAATATTGACATGAGAATTCACGTTAAATTGTGAGGTGGCAGAAAATTCATAAAGAGTACACTTGACAAAGTCTCTTTAACATTTCTCTCCAATCTTTTATGGGTAAGTTGGGATTAGAACATATGCGTGCAAGTAATAAGTGTAGTTGTTGTTAACCGAGTACAAACCCAATATAGACTTTATATCACTTTTTTTTTGTTGTCATTTTACTTTAATGTAAACACGTGACAGAACTTCACATATTATTATACAATTAGAAGAACGTTTTTTTTTATTTTTTATTTGAGTATCCCTCCAATTGTATAATGGCATGTGATATCCCGTCCCGTGTTCCGGACACATTAAAAAAATCTTGTTTCCTTGTTATGAATGGGACCCATTAAAAAAATGGAGTTTTAACGAAATACTCCCGGTACGGTTCACTTTTAACTAAAAAGGGACATTTTTATCTTTCCTGGTACTATTCACTTACATATTTATTTGTCATTTTTCATTAAAACTAAAGTTTTTAAAGACTTTTCGTTAGTTTTCCTTTAAAAAAAATCCACATTTTTTTTCAACTGTAAGGGCGTGTTTAGTATCCTATTTGAAAATTTTTATCCTTTCTCAAAACATTTCTCAAGAACATTTCTTGAAAACAATTTTCTTTAAGACTCAAAAACTTGATTGGTTTGCAATTTAAAAATTTTAAATCTTACAACTTAAATTAAACAAAGAGATTTAAAAAGATGGGGTAGCAGAAGAGGGAGAAATAGGAGAGAGGAGGAAAGAAAGTAAGAGATGATTGAAGAAAAGAAAAAGAAGAGAGAGGATCGGACGAGATAGAGAGAAAGAGGAGTAAGAGAAAGAACCTAGAGAATGAGGAGAGCGGATTGGAGGAGATACAAAAAAAGGTAAAAAAAAAGAGGAGAGAGAAAGAATAAAAGAGAGATAGATTTGGAGTGAGAGGGGAGGATGAAGAGAAAAGAAAGGAGTAAGTTTATGTTTAAAAACTCACTTTTTATGTTTTTAGATAATAGATTATATTTTTTAGTTAGTCTTGAGTTCAATTTTTAAAAATAGTCCTACCAAACAAGCTTTTAAGGCCTAAAACTTGAAAATTGTTTTTAAGTTTAAAAAGTTGGATTCAAGGAGAGTACCAAACAGGCCATAAAATACTTAATTGTTTCTTGTGAACCAAGCAAAATACATACCCTAATTAGATCATCACGTCACTTATGAACCAGCAAGCAACTATATCTATGTATATATAGATTATGGATACAAAAGACACGTCATAAACGTAGTTTATTATTTTCAAATAATAAAATGATTCTAATCAAATACGAATCGATACTTTAACATCAGCAGTTTAAAAAAATTAAAAAAAACCTATCTCACATGCATAAGATATTGCTTCTGCTTTGTGATAAGTAGTCAGGCCATATATCCCTAAGTTCTTTTTTCCTTTTGTTGGATCAAATATTTTTCAGTTTGAACAAATTTACATATGCATGATTCATATGTTGACATTATAATTACCAAAAAAAAATTGTACCAAGAATTCAAGATTACGTTGTTGAAGAGGGTTTGGAGATTTCTTTGTAAAACTTTAGATTAAACCAACAAATCTCTGTGTTTGCCCATTGGCCACGTGCTTGTGGAAAGTTGCCCAACTAACTCTTCATTTAGTGGTATTTATTTTAGTAATAAAATTTTAAACTCGAATATCGATACTTTTTTCCTGTTAATTAAAATGATATTCTTAGGATTCATTTCAAAAGAAAAAAAATGACATAATATTGCTTAGCGCAGGTGGTCGTGACGGAGGGTGGAGCAATGGGCAAGATCAGCCCCGAGGGTAGCCGGGTAAGGCGACCGTCTAGGGCCCCCAGTATTTTGGGACCCCAATTTTTTTTTGATATATCTATTTGTATTATTAATACTATCAAAGTAAGATAGATGATACGGAAAGCATGCTGGCGTAGTGGAACAGCCGTAGTGGTTTGCTTCTTGTCCCTTGTTTGAATCTCAAAGCAGCTCTTTCCATTCATTTTTTTTTTTGTTTGTTTGTTAATTTCGTATTTAACTAAAAAGTCCATGCAATAGCCCTTGTTTGAATCTCAAAGCAGCTCTTTCATTTCATTTTTTTTTTTGGTTGTTAATTTCGTATTTAACAAAAAAGTCCATGCAATAGCCCTTGTTTGAATCTCAAAACAGCTCTTTCATTTCATTTTTTTTTTTTGGTTGTTAATTTCGTATTTAACTAAAAAGTCCATGCAATAGCCCAGAAGACTCCCAACAAACATCCAAATTCAATTAGGAAACCTAATCTAAAAAGAAATTTTTATTTTTATATTTGGCCCTTCAAAGGTAATATTTAAATAGTGTTTGTGTATTTTTTATATGTATTTGATATAGAAATATATTTTTCTTTTCACGTATTTAGCAAATTTTTTTCTACATATTAATGTATAAAGCGTCAGGCGTCAGTACACTCTAGGGTCCCAATTCGAAACCCAATATTACTATGATCTAATAGTATTCCTTTTCACTTATAAGCGAGAGGTTTTAGGTTCGATTCTCGTCAAAGGTGAATTTGAACTATATTATTGCTATCCCATTGTGAGGCTAGGCCCACCCCCTCCTCTTTACTGTGGATAACATCGTTTGATAAAAATAAAAAAATTGCTTGCTTCAAAGAGAGGATCTAAAGAATTGCCTCAGAATTTAAGGTGAAAAATATGGATCGGATCGGGATAGATAATTAATTGTGGTACCAAAAAATTTCATAGTTTTGGTGACAATTTCTCATGCATTAAATTTCAATGCTTTTTTCTTGCAGTATTTGTAGGTGAAATGGATGGCTTCAATTCTTGTCCTCCTCCTACCAAAACAAATATGAAACCAACTCAGAGTTTTTGCATTACATGTGAACGCTTTAATCATATCTCAACCCCACTGCCTTTACCACCAAAAAAACAAATAAATAAATTTGGCACGAAATGATCTAAAATCAAAGTCTAACTGCTGAAATGACCAGTATTTAGCATGTCGTCAATATTTTATCGCTATATCGTCAATACTTGACCGTTATGTCGTTGATATTATCATTTTAATAACCAAGACCTGGAATTAGATTGTTTTAGTTAAATCCCAAAAAAAAAGCATGAGAATATATATAAGATGCCAATTGTGAATTTGTAAACTTGTAATTCATTGCTTTCATATTAACATGGTGTATAAACATGCACACAATTTCTTTGTTATTTATCGCCTAATGTTGCAAATATGAGATTAACCAACTTGGCTAGAAGCCTAGAACAATATCTTCTTCTGTAAAATCGCTTTTAAGAAAAACAAACACGTTGCCTAATGTCACAATAAGCTATAATAGTCATGTTCAATATTAACAACAGACTGGCCACTCAGTACTACTGTTTGGTGGTATTCTTCTTACTTGGAAATGAGAAGTCTTAGGTTCAAATCTTGTGGATGGTGAATTTGATATCAAATTAGGATGCACATTATGTGGCTTTGCCAAACTCTCCCTTCCCTTAGTTTAAAAATATCGATGTACTAAAAAAAATAAAGAGACTGAAATCTAATAAAATTCCAGCCTAAATTATATAAAAATTTAGAAATTAAAAAAAATAAAAAATAAAACTGCCACCAAACAATCCCTTAAATTCCACAGCAAAGTGTCGTGTACACAAGCTGTAAGCAAAAACCACTTGAAAGTTGAAACCCAGAGGGGTAGTCAAGGAAAAGCCCTTAAGGCCGTGATTGGCGCCTTAAATTACATTTCGACCCAACCACGCCATTATTAAAAAATAATTAAAAAGTTACAGAAAAAAAGTAATAAAAAGAATTAGCTTAATCCGTAGCGCAAAACCAGCGGATTACCGTGACGTCTGTCCCCGTGACCCCCGTCCGTACTCTCTATCTCTATCTCTCTCTCTCCCGTAACGGCCTCGTCCGACGTGGCAAGAAAAAGCGTTGAGCTGGAGAAGTGCTGTTAAAAGTTCGTTAGAGCGGTGAAAAGTGAAAATCCCTGGCAGTAAAACAAGACGGACAGTAATAGGGAGTATGGAGGGGTGGGGCAGTTAATGCAGGAAGTGGGGGTTGTTTGGTTGTTGGGTTAGAGAGAACCTAATCCAGGGGAGTGAAAAGAAACAAACAGTGAAAATTGGTGTTTGGTGTTTGGTGTTTGGTGTTTGTTTGTTTGTTAACTGTAAACGGCGTTAGAAGGGAGGAAGGAGGGGGTGGGTGTGCATTGTATAAAGTGGGGTGTCTATATAAAGAGAGTGATTGTTTGTGGAAGCTCCCCATTCTCTGACTCTACATTCTTTTGTGTGTCTCTGCTCCCACATTCCCTCCTCCTTACAGAAACACAGAGTTAGAGAGAGTTAGAGAGAGTTTTAGAGGGAGAGAGCGGGATAGCAATTGCAATGGCGGTGTTTGATAGTAAGAAGAAATGGGTCGGTGCGTTCATGATGGTGCTTCTCATGTTCTACTTCGCTGCTGCTGCAGTGTCTGAGATCTCTCGCAACAGGTTCACTTCTTCTTCCTCTTCCTCTATCTCTCTCCCTCTCTACATTTCCTGTGAACTTTAGTGAGAGAAAGTGGCAATGGGGGTATCTGACTGGAAAATTGGACCTACATTCTTTGTTTTTTTAGTAGAAACTGTAGTACGGACCAAGAATCCTAAGATTCTATAGCTTTGAGGGGAGGGGGGGTGAGTTGTAGACGACTCCATTGACGCATAGGAAGAGCTCAGACTTAGTGAGCGAGAGAGGTCTTGGAGTTAGCCGTACATATTGGGGGGTTTTTGGTTAAATTTCGTACTTGAGTTTCCTACAAATTTGTTTATTTTGGTAAATTTGTTAATGTGCAGGAATGGAGGAAGAGACAAGTTGCAGAGCTCGAGCGACTCATCAATGGCAGCCAGGTCCGTACCCAACCAAAACCTTAATTCCTTTTTCTTCTTCGTCCTTGTCCACGTGGATGGATCTCAACCGTCGCCCTGTCGATTCAGTTATTTTGGGCCGGTGGATGATGTTTTGTTCTTACACTAAACCCGTAAAATAAAAAATTTCAACCGTCAAGATCTGGATCCAAAGATCTCAGCCGTTTATTCCGTCATGTATGGCCCTGGGGCTGGGACTCCCATCCCTTTTTCAAATTCCCGAATTACCCTCGTCCAGTATCTATAATTCCACGTATACACCACTCGCCGACTAAAACGCCCATTAACGGTTTTCACTCGACGGTGGCGGTGGCCTCGAGCTCTGCACTCGCGCGCGCACACACACACGCACACTCGCTGTAAATCCTGCTCTCCTCAGTCGTTTGTCCTTTACTTTTGATCTAAACTCGTCGCCTCCCTCGGCCGAAACGTGTCGCTCTCCCATTGGCCAAATATATTCGGATTGACGCTAATCCAACGGTTTTATGGGTGAAAGTGAATGTTTTGGGTTTTTCCTTTTCTTTTTGCAGAGTGGCTGAGGATGACCAAGGATTCAACAAGCATGCAGTTGAAGACCCAGAAGAGATTGCTTCCATGGTTGACATGTGGGTAACTTTACCTATTTACCCCTCTCTCTCTCTCTCTCTAACGTATGATCATGTTTGACTGTGGACATGCACATGGTGTAATCTGGGATAAGAAAAACATAATTTTTAGTTACTTTTGGGTATGAATGGTAGATATTTGATTTGAGTGCATTGAGGGGTGGTGGGTGAGGCATGGTAGCTCTTAATAGTGCTCTTATGAAATTCGGACCTAACCAAACTGACTGACCCAATTGCCAATTTACATTTAACCCAGTTGCTAATTTTGTAAATTCCTCAAGTTAATTGGATTCTGGTTAATTTTTCATGTCCCTCTGTTTTGTGTCACCTTCAATTCCATTGTGTTAATTTGCATTAATTTCCATGTTACACTTGGAATATACTTTCCCTTTCTTTCATGCCAATCAAATCTGGTGAGATCCGTCCGTACTTGTTCAAATTAGGCCCCCCAAGCTTTTTTATGCCCCTCTCTCTCTTCCTCATGAATTTGATGGTTTTATATAGTAAAACTTTTTACCAATGTGATAGGTTTTACTTTTTACCCATGTGCTGCCAAAGGAACTCTGTTTCTGGACAAAAATCATAGGGGAGTTTTTATATCCGTTACACTGATGAGATAAAGACCAAATTGTCCTCGGAAATGGACAAAATACTGGCTTTTTCCCTCATCCTAGTGCTCAGGATTTGGCCAAATACAGTAGAGGACGAAACAAGAAAGAAAGTAGGCAGAAATTGCCTCCAATAGATTAATCTCAGTGCTAATTACTATTTCACTTTAATTATTTCTTAAACTATGTTTGATTATAATGTTGACATTAGAAAACACTGTTGATATTGCAGGAGTATCCGAAACAGCACTGAGAGGAGGAAGCTGGGCTACTTCTCCTGTGGAACTGGCAATCCAGTCGATGACTGCTGGCGCTGTGATCCCAACTGGCACAAAAACCGCAAGCGCCTCGCAGACTGTGGCATTGGTTTTGGCAGGAATGCCATTGGTGGTCGCGATGGACGCTTCTATGTTGTCACCGACCCTAATGATGATGACCCCGTTAACCCCAGGGCTGGCACTCTTCGCCATGCTGTCATCCAGAGCGAGCCTCTCTGGATTGTGTTCAAGCGAGACATGGTGATACAGTTGAAGCAGGAGCTCATCATGAACAGCTTCAAGACCATTGATGGACGCGGAGTCAATGTTCACATTGCTAACGGAGGATGCATCACAATCCAATATGTTACAAATATTATCATTCACGGTCTCCACATCCACGACTGCAAGCCCACAGGAAATGCTTTGGTGAGGAGCTCGCCTACTCACTTTGGGTGGCGGACAATGGCTGATGGCGATGCTGTCTCCATCTTCGGGTCAAGCCATATTTGGGTTGATCACAATTCCCTCTCCAACTGCGCTGACGGTCTAGTTGATGCTGTCATGGGCTCAACTGCAATCACCATTTCCAACAACCACATGACCCACCACAATGAGGTGAAGTTTAAATGCTTCTGAATCGACTATTGACTTCCATGTGAATTCTTTTTGTTGTAATATTGACATTGATCAAAATCAGGTGATGCTGCTGGGCCACAGTGATAGCTACACCAGAGACAAGCAAATGCAAGTCACAATTGCTTACAACCACTTTGGAGAGGGACTTATCCAAAGAATGCCAAGGTAGTTAGTTAATTCTTCAATGTTGGTTTGGTTTGTTGACAGCAGATATGAAAATACCAAGTTGTTGTTGTACGATGCTTTTAGTATCCATGCTCATAAGAAATGAACTGTGATAATGCAGGTGCAGGCACGGGTATTTCCATGTTGTGAACAACGACTACACTCACTGGGAAATGTATGCCATTGGTGGAAGTGGAAATCCCACCATCAACAGCCAAGGCAACAGATATGCTGCTCCAACCAACCCTTTTGCAAAGGAGGTATTTATTGCAGTACTAATAATATTTACGTTTCACTTAGTTCATGTTTACCACCGTAATAACTGATCATTGGGATGATGAATTACATTGTAAAGGTTACCAAGAGGGTTGAGACGGCTACCACTGAATGGAAGAACTGGAACTGGAGATCAGAAGGAGACCTGCTGCTCAATGGTGCCTACTTCACTCCATCTGGAGCTGGAGCTTCAGCAAGCTACGCCAGAGCCTCAAGCTTGGGAGCCAAGTCATCTGCCATGGTTGGATCCATAACTTCAGGTTCCGGTGCACTTCCCTGCCGCAGAGGCCACCCCTGCTAGTATCTCATATTTCCAGTTTACCAAAATTATATGGTACTACCAAATTTCCATCCACATATTCCATTGTTTTCTACCCAATCTTTTGCATTTTTCAAAAATTTGGCAAGTGTACATTATTTACACATGTCATCATATCGTCCAATCCACTCTCCCTCCCTGCCTCCCTCCCTCCCCAGATTGTCCTTCTGTTATTGGTCAACCTCGGTCTGCTTCAAGTGAAAATACAATGCCATTTTTAGGAGCAGGTACAGAAGCGTTGTTCATTTATTTTTCTTCGTTGTCCTTGTGGTCTCTGTCTGTTTGATCCCTTGGTATTCTAACTACCATTTGTGTGTCAATCTTCCTCCTCCCATCAGTGTGAGTCTTTTTTTTTTTTATCTCTCTGCATGCATTTGGGTTTACAGGGATATGAATGATTTTGTGGGTTTTCTTTTGTCCAGAGTCTTACAAGCAAGCAAGCAATAGTGTGATATGAGTGTCAAACTTTAAGTTATGAAAGGAAATAGCAAGTGCAGTCGTGTTTTCTTACTTTTGTTACTTAATTTCACCTTTGTTTTTCTTCTTTTACTTTTGGCAAAGTGCAATGGCAATGGAAGCTATCTTTTACTTTTGCTTTTGTTTCTCTGCCGGCACTCGTCACTGTTTCCATGTGCTCTCCCCAACACACCACATGATCACATCTAGTGATTAACCAACACAATCACCTTTTCCTTCAACTTTCTTCCTCATCATCTTACCAAATCATGAATTACTAGACCCAATTTGCTTAATTAATTTGGGATTTGTTTAGCAATAACCGTATCATCATCAATCATGACTCGGATTTGATATATTAATGCTGGAATTTTGTCCCATCAAAATGCAATCCACCATAATCCATGAATGAAAAAATAAGATGGCTACGCCCCACACCATCTCCAAGTGAAAATTGAATAGGTTTTGTAAAAACTAACACGGTTTTTCTTTCGGAGCTATTATCAGCACTCCAAATGTTCTATTGTAGACGAAAGACAAAAGAGAGCAAAAAGTGCATGATGACTATTTTGAAGTGCTAATAATAACAATTCCCTTTTTGTCAGTTGATAAAAATCAAACTTTAGAACAAAAACCAAACGTGCAGTCGTGTAAGTAATATTATATCGTAAGAAATGTTTACTCAGCTAAAAAGATTCCGAGTTGAAGGCTAGGATTATTTGTGGAACATAAATTGGTATATACACAGATATACCAAGCAATACAATCCTTACATAGTATAAGTACAAACCAGGACTGATCGATCGAGATCGAGACCTAGAGATAGAAACTGAAAGCAACGTATTTAAGTGCAACCTAAAATTCCCAACGGGTTTATTTTTTCCGAGTGAACACTGCCAATTCCATGTGGTGTCCCAAATGCCCCACCACCATTTTTCTTGTGGGGCAAGAAATAAATGTTTGGTTATGCCCTCCCCCCCCCTCCCTCTTAACATGGAGGTGGCGCAGAAATGTGTACCAAACATGTAAAATAGCAGATAAGTGGAAACAATGGCAGTGATACGTCCTATTTCATATGCTGGATGATGCAACCCCATCAACATATTGGGGAAGGGGAGGGGGATTGGGATGACCATTTTGCAATTGCATGTGAGACGGGGACCATTTGGCATGTGACAATTGGGACCATCCAAATTTCTCTTTCCAAACTTGTGTATGCATTTACAATGACATACTTACACATAATCGAACTTAAAATCTTCTTACAAATAAAGAGAAATATCACTAAACTATAGTTCTAATTGACATTGTTCATTGATTTACTTCTCGATGAGTACAATAGTACATATATAGAGTAGTTAGTGGACAAGAAAACATTGAGGAGTGAAAGTTTATAAGTACTTAAGACTTGAAAAGAGAATTCGAGTCTAGCAACGTAAAGTTTGTAACTAAACATGGTATTAAAGTGATTGGTTGTGTGATAGAGCTAAAATCATGTTGCCAAATGTGTTTTAGTAGCCATTAGTGGTATTATACTTTATTTATAAATGAAATGTTTCAGGTTCGACTCTCATGGATGACAAGTTCAATTTTCTAATTATGGCTAGTTCATCGAGTGATTTAGCCTAAAACTTCATCTCCTAATATTGTTGTATAAAGAACAACTTTTGAGAAGCGGGTTAAGATTACAATAGGTTAGAGGTTGTAACGTAACATTGAAAATATAAAATTTATGTGTTATTTAGGTTTTCACATTTTATTGGTAACCCCCAAATTTGTCTCTGTTTTGGATTTTTTGTTTAAACTTAATTGACAGCCCAATTTCAACAAAACAAAACAAAATCCACAAAAATAAATGCCAGCCCAACCAAGAACTAAGGATTGTTGCACCGACACTCACTAGGGTAATAGTGAAATCGTGTCAAGTCGTTTAATTGATCATCACGCGTTTTGCTTTGACAAGGGAAAAAACAAAAGGGACAAGTAAAAGTTTTTGTTTAAACATGCTCCAAGAGACAAGATCTGTAAGGGTGGGTGGGTATAGTAACCTAAATAGTTGAAGTGACTACTAGTGTTTAAATGTTCTCTTGTCAAACTGTTTAATAACATAAGTTTCTTATGTTGCCATATCACAAATCCAAAACACTTGGTTATGTTAATTCGTGCTTGAATGAATGGTTCGGTTTACAATCTTAACAATGTAATATGTGCAAAACCATATAGAATTATAGATATAGGTAGTTACATTTGTAAAGTATTTTTACTTTTTTGAAGATGGATGAGGCAGCCCTATTTGCTAGCAGTTTAGGTAAGAATTTGGATTTTGAGTGTTTGGTTGGCAGAAAAGTCGCCAAATTGTGTGAACATATGTAAAAAAATTTCTCTTCCACATTAACTCAAATGTTTGTTAAAGTAGTTTGAAAGTTGATTTTTGCAGTTTAATGGTTGTCCAAAGACCAAACCCTAACCTAGATTTGGATCATTTACTGGCTGCTCCCTAGTTGACATCAAATACATCATCTAGTCCCAAATCGATCCTACTTTTCTTTTTCTTTTTTCTTTTTAACAAACGATATGATCTACACTAAAATGATGCAAGAGTGGGTTAAGCTTCACAATGGACTAGCATTAATATGGTTCAAATTCGCCATTGACGAGCATCGAACCTAAAACCTCTCATTTACAAGTGAAGAGGAATACCATTAGACGTACTATGTGGCAAATCTATCTTAAACAACTTTGGGAAACTTGTCCTTCGTTTTTTAAGAGTAAAAGTTGGGAACTTTGGCCTCGTTTGATACACGTGATTGGATTGGAATTGATGATTTTCTAAATTTAATTTAATTTGAAGGTAGAGTAGAATGATTTTTCCTTTTGACGAGATTAGAAGCTGATTAGTTCAGAACGAACAAGTTTTCTTTTTGAGTAATTTGTGTCCTACCTCCAAATTGGTCACAATTTTTTCATTTCTTCTTTCCATACACTTTGAAAATAGTGCTTATTCGTCTCAATCTAATTCTCTATACCAAACGAGGCTTTTGTCATTGAGGTCACTCTACTACTTTTAAATGGGGCTTTATCTTCGTATAACATCAACCACCAATACTCGGTTGGCATTGTGCTGAGGCTGCTGCATCTAAACTTCACAACATTAGTAAACATTGGAATGCGGGCATTCTCATAAACCATCCATCTCTCGAAGGACTTTTCTGCAGTCAAAGCTAGATCATATAGTTGTACCAGGGTTACAGGCTTTCCTTTCGAACGTTCGTTAAAAAATATTCAGATTTTGCAAGGGGACAACACGAACAGAAATGCGGATGACTGATCAGCAATGCTTTCAATCGATATATACAGCTAGGGCAAGTCATTTTAACGGTTTCTCGTGCAGTCTAAAATATATGTAGCAGAATAGAACTAATATAAAATCACAATGGCCTATGGTCTCCGGTAAGTAGTCTGTACTTCACTTTCGTCTATGGTATGCCCACTCTCTCTTCAACCTAGTTATTAATACTTTGGAGTGGTACTGAATCCCGACTTGCTATTGAATGAATCTTATACATATAAGGAAAGTTTATGTCTCTTTCCTTTAGAGCAAAGTTGCCTCATCCCGACGAGTTCTACCATTAAAAGTGCTCCGATCGCGCCTAGCTGGAAAGGGGATTTTTTCCAATCTTCGACTGGTAAGCCTTAAAGAAAACATTGATAGAAAGGGGAAAGAAAAGGGGGTCGGAAAAAAAAAATTTGTTAGGTGTGTAGCTATACTAAAGTAAGTAATCGGCCTAACCTATGGTCCCGTAAGCAAGTTTTTCTTTCTCACTCCTTATGTTATGTACTTTTTCTTACTTAATCCATAATTTTTTGCCTTTTCTAAAGTGCGGGGCAAATGGTGCCCTCTACTTATACTTCTAACTAAAGGCGAACCATAGGTATTGCCAGCAAACAAAGCAATCTGCCCGTTTGAGTTCCGAAGAGGCCGCTTGCTTAAAAAAAAATTATTATAAACAATCAATGCAATTAATTAAAAAGGAGTATTTTCTATTTATTATTTTCAAGTTTTCCAGTTTTATAAATATATTTTTTTGTGAATACTAAAAAATGTAAAAATTTGTTATATTAAATTTATATGATCAAAATATATTATTTACTTGAAGATGAAAGGATATCGGGTGGATGGATCAAATTATTGGGTGGAACACTACAAGCAATTTTGCTTTTCTGGGTTGTATTGGGCTTACAAGAGACTATTTGGACATATTACTGCTAGGCTGTTTTAATAGCCATTGCTTTAAAGTTTTCATTCAGGCTTTTTAATGACCAAGTCAATAAATAAAGGTCCAAATTGGAGTTTGGAACATAAACAGCCAAGCTGGCCAGTTGGTAAAACATAAAGGACCATTTATGATGAAATTTTATTTTTCTAGTTTTACAACATGCTAATGCATTAGAATTTATTTTCATTAGTAAGTGAGAAATTTCACATTCGATTTTTAATGGGCTCCCATGTAAAATACAAAAGTCTTGCCAAGCAAAGTATGTCCATTTTCTTTCTTTTTTCTTTTTGTAACAAAATGGTATTATAATTTAGGGAACTTTAACGAAAAGCACCCGGTACTGTTCACTTTAACGAAAAACCACATTTTTACACTAAAAAGTCAATCCTGGTACTATTCACTTTACCCTTTATTTTGTCCTTATCATTAAAACTTAAAGTTTTCAAGCCCTTTTCATTAGTTTTCCTTATAATTTACTCTAATAAGCTACTTAATATTACAGTCTAATGATATTCTTCTTTATTTGTAAGTGAGATGTTTTAGGTTCAATTCTCACCAAAGGCGAATTTGACCCACATTATTGCTAGCTTATTATGAGGCTAAACCCACCACTTCCCTTTAGTGTAGATAATATCGTTTGTTAAAAAAAATAATTTATTCTAATCTACATGGATGGAGGTTCAAACTTAAATATAAGAGGATAAACATAATACTCTAGTCAACTAATCGGGGCAACCCACATGTGTGAGCATGGCCCATTCTTGCCTATCCCCTTTTTTTCCTCAACCCCAATATAGAAGGGAGCAGAAAAGCTTTTGTGGCTTAGGCTTAGCCCTTGTATGCAAGTCCATATGCTATT